CAGAACCCATAAAAACAGCCTTAACATAGGGCTTACTGGGCACGACGAGTGTTCTGATATTCATCATTAACTGGGCCTGAACATCCAGAGAGCAGAAAGTTCTACTGGGACCAGAACTACTAGTTATTATAACAACTATGAACAATAATGAACAACTAATGATCCTTCCAGCATCAAGCCCTCCTCGTATCTGGACCTCCGTCTGGACAATCCGACAGCCTTGATATCCGACATAGAAGAAGGTTTTACATTTAGAGTCGGATCATCGGGTCATGACTGTACATGGTAACGACATGAATGTTAGCAGACAGCTGATGCTTTGATTACCTTCATCTCAGGAGCTAGCTGTGCATCTGCTGTCACACTAAAAGAGGTCAGAACCACTGGCCCATTTATTCTTGGCATCAGAATGAGTTCTGTGATTAGCGGCTTTGTTCCCTAATATTTTGTCCACTGCTCCAGTCATTCCTGAAAAAGCCTTAATGCCTCGGCTGTGTTTGGCTTTGGGCTTAGCGTCAACGTGAAATTAACAGTAAATAGTTAATTAATCACTCCAGCAGCAGTTCTTGTTCATAATAGACTGTTTTCTGTCAGCATCACGCTGGAGTCTGCTCTGTCACCGTGTTTCCACAGAAGATGTTTAGCAGCTTGTAGTTTCATATGTTTGGCTCAAATCTTTGATCACAAATCCATAAATTGTCATCAATATACAGACAGAAACACAGAGGGACATAACCTCCATCTGATGAGCAGATCTATGGGCCATCCCTTCATGTTGCCTCTTGGTTCTGCTCTTCTTCTATCTACAGGTTTTAAGGCTTTGTTTTGTATGTAACGTTCATGATAGAGAAACTAAACCTCACTAAGAGATCATAATAACACCATCTCTGTTTTAACACAGAGCATCACAGACACTCAGTGATATGAAATAAAACCGTCCGATGTGGTGATGAGGATCAGAGTTTGAACATTTGCATCAGCGTGTTTCTTTCATGTCGTGCCGCGGTTGTGTGCTGACCTGGATTTCATTGTGTTCGCTCCCCATGGTGGTGGTCTGAGGGGGAGCAGGCAGGGCCCGGGCTGCATGCCAGCTGGACCTTCAGCTCTCCCGTGTTTCAGGCAAAGGTTGGGCGAGCAACAGACAGAATGTGTGTTTTTGAGAGAAAGGCAGAGAGAGAGGGAGGGAGGCCGGCAGACAGCCCTGATTGATCCCTTAACCCCGATTCCCACTCATGTGCCCGGCAGGCCCAGAGGACACAAACCCAGGACCGGGATGTCTGCGTTCAGGAAAATGACTAAATGTCGCCTGAATCATGACTGAAATCCAATGAATGTCCAGAACAGTGATGGAGCTGAACCACTACTAAATAGAGTGGTAAAGCTTGAGGTTGAACTCAGCATGGGAAGCCCAATCCCCACCAGGACCGAGCTGAGCTGTTGTGTTCGGTAGCGGGTGCAGGTCCAGGCTTTAGGGTACCCGGGTTCATGTTCTGTATAAAGCTATTGATGGAATGACTCAGCGTTCATTAGATTTATAGCTTTACATATGAACACAATAAAATCTTTCAGCCAAAGCAGAAGAAGTGCTTCTATTCTGTGAAGTCAGGACTCGTTTCAGACGCCAGCGGCCTCCAGGCGCTGTGTGAGCCTGGATTCTTGTAGGCAGGTTTTACATCACGTACAGCAACGATAAGAAAAGACAAATGCTGAAATATTACGATGGAATGGATGGAACAGTTTCACTCTGCCTCCGCCTCAGTCTGCTCTGCTTCTCCTGAAACTGCACCTCTCCACAGTTTCCGTCCGACAGCTCTCCTGGGTGTTCACTCTGTGGAGCCCCAGGAGAACCCAGAAACATCCGCCAGCGCCACAAACACAATCAAGGCTCCCCAACGCCCAGCGCTCAGCCACGATATCTGTTGCTACTTCTCAGCCTCAGGGGGGCAGGCCTGCCTACGATCAACTCATCTGTATGCTGGTGTCTCGCCCCCAGCGGAGATCTGTGTGGAAGGTCTCTGAGGATGAACAAGACCTGGATGAAAACTGCTCTTATCTGGATACGATGACATCACACGCCGCATACAGGAATGCTATCGTCTGACTCACTGCATGGACAGTCCTGCACTTCACAGCTTTCTCCTCCCGTTCTGCCATTTGTAATGATTTCAACATCCTCTTTGATATCCTAAACAACAACAACAACAACAACAACAACAACAACAACAACCTCTGAGAAGAAAACGTTTGCCAAACTTTTGTTTTGTGCAATAAGGCTGCCCCACCTATTCATTTCATCCATCCATCCATCCATCCACCCATCCATCTATACACGGCTTCATCCTCACTGGGGTCATGGGGGTGATGCTCTGGAACAATCTGAGCAAGCATCACACAAACCCCCAAAACCTGCACGAGATGAAAAGAGACATCCTGAAATGAAATCAAATGGACTTTAATAAGATTAGTCTATGTGTAGCAAAAAGTGTGTCACGTTTCCTTTGAATTCATGCAGCAGCATGACCTTCTCATCTGGATGCTCAGAATCAGCAGCATGCCAACAGATGGACACTCCTCAAGACATCAATATACTGACTGATACAAAGGAAGATGAGACTATGAGAGGTCAAGAAGATGCACTTCCTTTGGATTTGTGAAAGCGTGCACAACCTTCACATCTGGATGC